CGTGTCTTGCGACTTGTAGAATACCAACGGATTGTTATCCGTTACCCATCGGAATGCTTTCCGACCAAGGAGGAAATGTCGCCAACGCTTGAGGGCGTGGACGAAGGCAAGAAGCTCCTTCTTCCGTGCGTCGTCGATCGAATGCACGGGAGGTACTTTCTTGCTAAACTACTCGACTGGGTGCCAGTCCGTGCCATCGTGCTGCTCAAGGACGGCCCCAATGCCATAGCCCGACGCATCGGTAGTGACGCGCGTAGCTAGAAGCGGGTCGTAAATATGTAACACCTCGGCGGATAAGAGTGCCGCTTTGAGTGTTTCAAAAGAATGGCGCGCATCTTCATCGAAGTCAAAAGGCCGCTCCTCGCTTTGTAACTTGCTTAGGTTGGCCGCGGTCTTCGAGTAACTCTTGATGAAACGCTGATAATAACCGGCCAAGCCGAGGAAGGATCGGACGTCCGTCACATTCTTCGGCTCGGGCCACTCCAGGATGGCTTGAATCTTGTCCGTCAACGGACGAATGCCTTCCGGAGAGACAAAATGACCCAAGTATTCAAGCTCTTGCCGGACAAACTCGCATTTGTCGCGGTTAGCTTTGTACCGGGCTGACCGAAGAGTCTCTAGAACACGGCGAAGGTGCTCGAGATGCTCCTCTAGAATTTGGCTATAGACGAGGATGTCGTCTAAGTACACCAAGACGAAGCGGTCCAACATAGCGCGAAACTCGATGGTCATGGCCGCCTGAAAGGTGGCCGGGGCGTTGGTGAGGCCAAAAGGCATAACTACCCACTCAAAATGCCCATATCGCGTCTTAAACGCAGTTTTGTACCGATCTGGCGAGCGGATGGAAATCTGATGGTGGCCCGACTTCAGGTCCAACTTGGAAAAGTACTTGGCGCCGCCCAACCGCTCAAGCAAATCGTCAATGCGAGGTAGAGGCCCCGCGTTCTTGATGGTTTGCGCGTTGAGGCGTCGGTAGTCAATGCAAAGTCGAAGGTCCTTGTTCTTCTTCCAAACGAAGAGAACGGGCGCACCGTAAGGTGAGCTGCTAGGGCCGATCCAACCCTTGTCAAGTAGATCGTCGAGTTGCGCACGGAGAACCGTGAGCTCCTCCTCGGACATGCGATAAATGCATCCTTTCGGTGGCACGGCGCCGGCCTCAAGTATGATCTCGTGAGAGATTGGTCCGTCCGGCACTATACCGGAGGGTGTCTCAAAAACATCTGAGAGCTCGTCTAACAACCGGGTCACACGGGGGTCGGAAGACACATCCGTGGACGATGAATCGGTCGTCGGGATGGTTCGAAGAAAAGCGATGCCAATCTCTTCGACATGCTCGGAACGGCATGTGTCTCGAAAAGATTTGGCACTCACGACTTGGCACCGAATGGAAGAGCGAGGAGGAGGAATAGTACACGGGACCTCGGCGCCAGTTGCATCACGCATCGTGAGCGTGCGTCGATGGAAATTGACCGTGTGGTCCGTGCTAGAAAGCCAAGGCATCCCCAAAATGACATCGAAGTCGGTGTCCAACACGTCAAAAGTGACGGGTTCACATGCGTGCGGTGCAAAGTACACCGGGACAGCCGAGATGTAACGGTCTAAAAGCTGTTTCGTCTTACTGTCGGCAAGAGCGACCGTCGTCGGATGTGACTTCCTCCGTACTTGTGCGCCAAGGCCAGCCCGAGTCATGAAGGACTGGCTGATGAAGTTGC